ACCGTTTTTTCCTCATTTCCGGTCATTTATTCTCAACTCCCTATAACTCGAACTCCCGACACCCCGTACCTTTTTCAATTTCCCTTGAAGGTTCAATTTATCGGGAGTCGATTGCATATTAATGTTACAACCTCTTATCAATACGCTTATGAAGTGTCTCTCAAATGCAAGCAAAAACATTGCCCACAAAAGATTAAAACATTTGTATAAATACCTGTGCAATATTTCCCCGCTCTGTTGTAGCTCCCCATCCTGTGACATAACAGTTAGTTCCAGGAGGAAAATCCACGGTGGGCAGACACACAGGTCTTACGTTAATGTTAAAGTTGATAGGTTCCTTCAGTTTGATCAATGCCACGTCATAGTCGAAGCCAGTCGCTGCCGGGTTATAATTAGGATGTAAGATGATTTTGTCGATTGGGATTATTTGCTCGGTTCCTTCCACTATACGAAGATCGTGTTCACCTGTTCACAGTTAGATAAAATGTTTCAACACACTTAAGTTAGTGAACAAGTCAAGGAAGAAAAACTTTTCTCGCTAGATGGGTTATGAATGGTCATAAATGGGAAAATGAGATAGTCAGCGCCTCGATGCTCTTACGATACGAGCTTTGCACCTTCCAGTTTCACGCGCGTCGATATTTCTGGAAAATCTAAACGTTTTTCAGTCTACACTGAAAAGGTATAATAAACGCTGTGAAAGATATAATAAAAAAAGATTTCATTTTCCATGGGCTATGCCCAGAGAAGACGTACAAACTACGCTGCAGAATGTCTAAACCTTTGAAACGACTCTGACTGAAGCATTTGAACAATATTATGATGTTATTATGACGTTACAAAGTGATAAAGAAGTGCGTCTTTACCTACAGTTAGTGTAAAAGATGTGACATTTTTTCCAACATCAAAACAGTGAGCTGCAGTAACGATCCAGTACGGGGTAAGAATGGAGCCTCCACACGAAACAGGGCCCCGGTACGGCTTAAAGTCCACTAACACTTGCCACGGCCAAGACCCTGGTTGCGCGTTTGTGCCCCCTACAATTCTGGAACCGGGCTTTTTACTGCCACACTCCACGTTCCCTAGTGATGAAAGACAATTTAGGGCTTTGATCTATAAACATTTTAAAACTATTATGATTATGGTCCAAAACATGTAATTGATGCCTTACTCCCGAAAACGCGGAAAATACGAGCATTCAAAATCACATTTGGTTTCGTCATTACTGCTGATTGGTTGAAACAAGAAATATGTCTCCTCGGAGGAGATTGATTTTAGCTCCTTGAATAAGGGTTCTTTTAACCAGTAAGAGATCGTAAAATAGACGTTCCATTGTACATCTCTATATCAGTGAAAATTCACTATTTCTTACCCTGATTAATGGGTGCACGTCCGCCAGCAGTTGGTGACAAAGTTGTCGACGCACCTAAACGGATATAAGAAAGAAAATATCAGCTAGTGGTACTTTAGACTAGGTTTACACTGGAGGAAATTGTTCCGGATTCGTGACGAATCCGGAAAGTTTTAGTACCAGATTGATTTTGCCGTTTACACACAAGTGGACGAATCCGAAATAACTCCCTAGTTTTGTCGTGTTTACGGAAATTCTGAATCCGGATATTTTTTTCCGCCTGCGATCTTTTGAGGTTGCGGTTGAACCAAAATGGCGGATCTACTAATGTAGTCACAGTCGTAGTCACATTGATGGCCATTAATAGCGGTCAATGGTTGCCACATTCTGTTACAGGTTCAGGCAGTCGCTTTTATAATGGGTGATGCCATATTCCTCAGAAACCAAAATAATAGACGCAAATAATGTTCCCATGGCATGCCCATCTCAAAAACTTTCGAACAACAACAACAACAACAACCATTTTATTTTCCTTAATACATAGAATATCATGCAGCAAAAGAATAAATTAAACTTAAAAAAGCAAAAAAACTACTCCGCAAAATAGTAAGAACCAAACGAGCTGAGTAGTTACAAGGATTATTACGCTTTAAATCGGTTGTGGGAAAAATAAAGAAAAGAAGAGGTAGAAAAAANTAATAAATTCAAGCCTAACATACCGCCTACTTCATTCCTTGGTTGATTTCCACTTGTTTGGGTGATCTCAGCAAAAGAAAAGAACAAAAACAGAGCAAAAGTTGCAACAAGCCCGTTAGATGCGACGAACATTTTACCCGAAATAAACCTTACCAAGTTTGTCAAGGGCAAAAGAAAAACAGCGCTACATAAACATGATATAATATATAATATATGCCTGATATAAGCCTGCGGATATGCTAGTCAAAACTGATCATAACAAGGTTTTGTTTCATTTAGAGACAGACTGATATAGAGCGCTTTCACATGACGTCATGGCAGCCATATTGGTGTTTCAAAACAATGAAACGGCAGCCACGTTGGTGTACCAAACTAATCCTGTGGGAGTTGAACTCTTTTCTTATGTAAACAATTCTTTTTGTTCTGATAAATTTCCATGTGTGCTGGCCACGTGAGTGAAAACGCTCTTTTGAGATATCAAGACCAAGATTCCTTAGTATTAATTTAGTACTAGGATTCGCAGAAGTATATTTAGATAGCTATGAATACACTAAATTTACTAAAAATGAATCAAGTTCGCATATATTGTATGATTCTTAAATTCAATATCAAGGATATTATAAGTAGATGTTCAATTAAGAGATAGTAAAATATTTCAGCGTTCTTATCAAGTTATAGAAACAAGAGTTTAGCATATAAAATGCTGTTGAAACACGAGTCGTAGGTGAATCGACTTTGTTCACACTCTTTCGAGTTTCCCCGCCAAATTTTCGCGGCTGTTCCTATGTCAATGTATCGATAGAAACAAATTAAAGAGGAACTCGAGAAAATGTTTTCCAAAGTTAATTATTAGTTTTTGATTTGTCCCTTAAGATACATGATATATACAATCAATATTTGTATATCTACCATCATGAACAAGCAAAGAATGATATAGCTCGGTCAAGATCCAGGTATGAGCATCACACACAGGTTCAACTTGCTATAAATGTAGAAAGGTTGCTATACTGTAAATGAACCAACTTCACATAATATACAGCACTTAGTAATTTAAATATCAGTGACATTTTTGTAAGTGATACAGGACGTCACTTTCTACTTCATAGAGAGTCGCAGATATTATATCTGTAGTTGCTTCAACATACTTGTCGGTGAAATTCAGATAATGTAATATCCCTCCCCCCCCCAAAAAAAACACTTTAACTTCCAGACGCCAAAATCTTTAAGATAATAAGCCGCAGCCCGTCCCCCTCCAGAAATATAAGCCTGTATGCTCATTTTTAGATTTAGCTCTTCTAAGAACTTAAAAGAAAGAAAAAAAATAAAAACTTTAATCCCGTTCAAAGCTTGAAAATTTTTTCAGGTCTTTTTTCCAGTAGTGTTATGGCTACATTCGCATCTATCATAATGTCTAAAAATGTTAAATTCTTCAGTCCGATTACAAACAGCCCAACTTTATAGAGTTTATTAGGCATTTAATTCTTAGAAAGAGACTTGTTAAGTTCATTTACTGTAGAACGTCTGGACGTGTTTCGCACTTCCTTTCGTTATTTTCCACTGCCTTCAACCATTCCGCATTCTTGTACAACTGAACATTTTGACAAACAACATTCCTCTAAAATATAAATCCGAACACTATATTTTGAAACTAAAAAAAAAAATTAACAACAACAACAAGCTCAAAGCTTTTTCTATAAGCTAAAGACCAAGAGAAGATTGAGGTAAGGGAGTGAATCCCCATATACCCATATAGGCTTCTTAAGCTATTTTTAGACATGGTACCCGGTTCTTCCGCAGATGTTACTTGCGCGTTTTTTGAATGTTTTAAGGGAGGATTTAGTTATATTTCGTTTCGTTTCAAAGCAAAGAAAGACCTCCAACGTTGTGGGAATGTCTTCTTTGAAATTTTAATATCAAAGAAGCAAAGGACTCTTCGACTCTTGCTGTTTTGATGCATTTCGAAATTTTAACAGGAGTTTACATAAGAGACGGATGTCCCCTGAACAAACAATAAAAATTGAATGAACGGCCAAATGAGCGCAAAGCAAGCGAGCAACCGAACACAATGCATCCGAACAAACAGATCGTCTAAAATGCAGACAGATGCTTCCCGCCCAAACAGCAAAAGGCAGTTTAAGTATCAAGGACAACAACGCCAAGGACAAACTGGAAAAGAAACTGAGAAAACTTTCGGAAGCCTTATATTGAGACGAAGGAAGTAGCACAAGTCGACTACAAGTATAATAACGAGTACAATTGACAATACTTTACATTCCCTCTTTTATTGCTTATATATAATGCATTCTTACAAGCTAAGATGACAATGAGCAGTTAGCTTATCGTCAAATTCAACATTTTTTGGTGAAACGTGACCCGCTATTAAAACACAAACTGTGATTTACCGGAATAATTACCATTAAGCGAGGTTCGTTTAATTAGTTTGCCGTGATTCTTTTATTTTCCGTGAAACATGAGTTAGTCTTCAACCGACAACTTCACTCTCTTTACTACCCTTGTCAATCACAGAGTTGTGGAATTGTTAATTGTATCCTGCACCCAGGTCTTAAGTGCAATCACGTCAGAATACACTCCGAATCTATTCGGGAGCGCACAACCAACTCCCCAGCTGACGATACCCACGAGATACCACTTGTTNGAGGCTCTGGGGAATAAATACAGAGTTTGTGGGGTTTATTCCCCAGAGCCTCGAGCTGAGGTCTATTGTGTTAGGCTGAATTTTAATATGTCGAAATTGATCTATTTTAGTTGGCTTTTTAAACCGATGAAGGCCGAAGCTGTTTGATTGACACATCTTCTATAAGCTGAGAGAAACGTTGTTTTAGCGTTTTATTAGGGTGAGTGTCCAACACAACTTCGAATGTATATTACTGATCAGAGAATTCTTTCCACGACAATAGCTTTTCAGACTCAACATCTCTTCCCAATTTTGGCAAACAATTTTGGGTGCAAACAAACAGAAAGTGCAAGTGTTTTGGGTGCAAACAATTTTGGGTGCAAGAACTCTTTCCCATAACATGCCTACGCAATAAAACACTTTTGAACAACTAGAAGCCGTGACAGCTTTTCGGGGTTTTCTTGACGTAGATTATACGTACAATATATGTTTAAACTACAAGGCTTACCTTGAGCACTTGGAGGAAGATCATCATCAGTTGTTGGTAAAAAACTTGTCGGCAGAGCTTTAAGAATATATCAGACAGAAAATATCAGGATGTGATACTGACATTGAGCTGTGATATATTTTTCTTCTCCACAAAAATAAAAATAAAAATAAAAATAAATTGAGTTAGGAAAGAAGTGGGCCAGATTAACTTTTACAAGGTATTGTAGTTGAAGCCAAGAGAGAATGAAGAGTGTAAAGGAAGTTAATTCCTCTTGTTATATGACTAGCTCCGTGAGCGGCAAGGTAAACCAATGCGAATCCAGCGCTGTGATTGGCTGCCCGAGCCGGAAGGCACACAGCCTAATCTGCATAAAGCCTGAAAACGGGCATAACTTTTCAGCGATTAACCCAAAACATCCTCAAACTTGGCAACAATATAAAATATAACGACCTCAACTCATTTTTTGTGTTTGGTGTTGATTAGTTGGGTCACGTCACCCGTTATCAATGGCGGTTTGACTGATCTGAAATGAAATTGAAAACGGGGTGGCGAGATGCCACGTAACGGATATGAATTGAAACCTTATAGTAATTGTCTTGTTGTCTCGTTTCAGTTAACCATTTCCACCCTATTTGAGGTTTTACTATTGCCGAGATTATGGTGTCATTAGACACGCGTCCACCATAAAGATATCTTAAGCGATTTAAGAACACTAAATTTCTATCGATATTAAATTTTAGTCTTCCCACGTCAAAAAACAACAGTGTTTCTCAAGGAAAAAAGTTTAAACTTGGCTGGGGGTCTAACCAAGAAACCAGATGCTTTAGAGAGGGCACATTCTTGCCCGCTTGGTATTATTGTCCCGCAAGAAAAATCACCTCGAAGCTGAAGCAGGTTTGTCAAAGCTTTCTGTGTAATTTGCGCCTTGAAAAATATGATTTTCTGGAAAAGCTTAATTTACAGATTTCCTATGGTCTTGTAGCGGAGCTCCGGCGGCCTGAAGGACCGCCAAGCGGAGCCCCATACTCATATAGGAAAGAAAAGGAAACCCATGAGTTGATTTTCTCAAGGTTATCACGGCTAGCTGTATTGCTCGTGGGCGCGTACGCACGACGGCGACGACGACGACGACGGAGTCGCGCAACATGGTGGCCATACTCCAAATAATAGGTTGACAGAGACATGCAGACTTGGTTTACCGTGTACTTCTTTGATATCGCAAAGTTACAAAACTCAAATCAAAATTGTACCTTTTTCTAGGTTAGCTTAATTTGGCTCTGAACAACCCGGCCCTGGAGCTACGCTTTCAGGCTGGCCTAAATCTATTTATTATGGGAAAGATAAGGAAACCCATGAGTTGATTTTCTCATGGTTATCATGGCTAGCAGTATTGCTCGTGGGCGCGTACGCACGACGACGACGGAGTCGCGCAACATGGCGGCCATACTCCAAATGCAATAGGCCTTGGTTTACCGTGAACCTCTTTGATATTGGACATCCGTGTTACGATCAATTGACACCTGTCAAAACAAGGTATCCGCTGACCAGTATCACGTGACCATATCGCGGGCTCAAGTTTGAGGTCATCGAAGTCACGTGTTTTTTTAAGTTGACCACTAACCAAGTGCTGGTTTTCGATTGTATCGCGGGCTCATGTCGGGTTAACTTGTTGAAAACAGGGCTGGGTTGTTCGGAAGCCGGTTAACGCTAACCCGGGATTAAGAGGTGCGTTCCTTTGGGGTGATCCGGTTCCGGATTAGTGATCCAAGATCACTCGGATTATGGTGTATCAAAGGAACCGATGAATCTACTCTGTTCACGGATTCATCGGTTCCTTTGATGCACCATGATCCGAGTGATCTTGGATCACTGACCCTGATCCAGATCATCCCAAAGGAACGCACCCTAAAAGTTAACCGAATTATAACTTTATCTTCTATACAAATGTTTTTCGCTGCTTTGTTTTGTGTATATTGTAATTATTAAAACTCAAAACAGAAGGCCAAACAATATACAGAAAACCTCACCGCAAAGTTACAAATCTCAAATCAAAATTCCACCTTATCCTGGGTTAGCTTAATCGGGCTCTGAACAACCCGGCCCACGAGCTACACTTTTAGGCTTGCCTAAATCTATATATTATCGATGAAAACCAGAAAAGCGTAAGCGCCCGGAGGATGAAAACAACGAAAACAAAACAGTTCCTTGGCTTCCCTTTCAGTGCTCGCAAATAAACAAGCACAATTTTTTTTTTCCGTGTTCGTTAGCTCATAAAGAATATCCTTTTTTGACCAAGCTTGTTCGGTAAAGGTAGCCGGATATTGGTCTCGTTCTATTTTTGCGTGTTTATGGACCTCGGCTCTGTCTCGGTCCATAAACACTCGAAAAAGGAATTTGGCTAACATCCAGTAACCTTGACCGAACAAGATTGGTCAATAACCCATATCTATAGATCTTGTTCCCATGCCGATTCCTCTCCAGTTAAATTTAGACATGGATATAATGCTACCTCGCTTTTCGACATGCATATGTTTTCATGGAGGATGAAAATGCATGTAAACCCGCTTGGACTGTCCACGTGATCAACATTTGCGTAACAAGACTGGTTATATCAAGGCCCTCCTGGGATTTCCGAACCCAGGAGTGATAAAGCCTACACTGAGAATTAACTCTTTTCAAAAACAAATGAAAAATAGCTCTCGCACCTTTCAGTCTCTTTTGTAGAAACATATTTTGTATGCTGTCGTTCCTTCGTTTTTCTTTAAGGCAATTTAAATAGGCTGTTTTAACAGTCTACTGAAATTTCTGTGCGAGTGAAGCACGCAGTGAAATCTCCATTATAGCGTTCATTAAACGACTGTAAATCTTCCTTTGATGTTTCATGTCGTTATTTTAGGGCAGTTTCATCACGCCTTATTCGCGTACAGGCTTAAAATTTTAAGACGCGACATCCCTTTTAAAAATAAACTCAAACGTTTCTGAAGCGCAAGAATTCATCACGGTAATCCCTCAACCTCTTGAAACACCCCTCCGAGCATGAAGCCACTAAAAATGCGTTTTAACATATACCGAAGCCAAGGAGTTATTCGAAACTTTACTTTATCCGACACAGCAATTAGCGTTTGTAATACTGGCAGTGATGAAACCTGTACTGTTAGCGTGGTTGTATTTCAAACAAAAAACTAGGGTTCTTATACCAATCTGCACGCTTTTGTATGAATTTGCGTTCGCTAAACAACTTCAAGGTACCTGAAACACATGAAGACAAAAATGAATAGACCTTTCCCGCATTCCACTTCAGTGCGTTCGAACAATGGCACCAGAGCGAGGTTGGGGTGAACATTTTCATACATCTTCCGTATTTTTGTCCACCCTGACCTCGACTTGGCGCCATTGTTTGTTGGAATGCGGGAAAGGTCTATTACCAGAAACAAAAACGAAAACTTGAGGGATCTACTCTTGTGTAAATAGACACACAACAGACATAAAGATGAAAGAAAAATTATCAAAAAGACATAGTCTAGAAATATATAGATCTCCATAGTTATATTTACACCCTAGCATCATAAATCCAAGCCAAACATAGTTACCGCCTACTCCATTCCTTGGTTGATTTCCACTAGTCTGACTGATCACAGCAAAAGAAAAGAACAAAAACAGGGCAAAAGTTGCAACAGGTCCGTTAGATGCTACCAACATTTTGCCTGAAATAAACCGGACCAAGTTTTCCCACGGCTTTCTTGTAAGAACAACAGCACGATAAAAATAGGCCTGCGGACATGCTAGGCAAAACTGATCATAACAAGGTTTTGTTATATTTAGAGACAAAGACTGATATAGAGATATCAAGATCAAGATTCCTCAGTATTAATTTAGTACTGAGATTCGCAGAAGTATATTTAGATAGCTATAAATACACCAAATTTACTAAAAATGAATCAAGTTCGCATATATTGTAAGATTCTTAAATTCAATATCAAGGATATTATAAGCAGCTATTCAATTAAGAAATAGTAAAATATTTCAGAGTTCTTATCGAGTTATAGAAACGCGAGTGGAATATAAGAAATACACTTGCAACACGAGTCGTAGGTGAATCGAATTTGTTCACACTTTTTCGAATGTCCGGCCAATTTTTCACGACTGTTCCTATGTCGATATATCGATAGAAACACAGAGGAACTCGAGAAAATGCTTTCTAAAGTTAATTATTAGTTTTTGATTTGTTCATCAAGATGCATGATATATACAATCAATATTTGTATATCTACCATCGTGAACAAACAAAGAGCGATATAGCTCGGTCAAGATCCAGGTACGAACATCAAGTCTGGTGACGTGATAATTCTTACAAAAGTTCATCAAGATATTGCCATAAATGTACAAAGGTTGCTAAATGAACCAAGTTCACAAAACAAAGTACTTCTTAATTTAAATATCAGTGACATCTTTATAAGTGATACAAGACGTCATTTTCTACTTCATAGTGAGACGCAGGTATTATATTTGTAGTTGATTCAACATACTCGTCTGTGAAATTCAAACAATATCCCTTCCCGAAATAGCCACTTCAACTTCCAGACGACAAAATCCTTCTGACAATAAGCCGCATCCCGGCCCCCTCCAGAAATATAAGCCTGTGTGTTTTTGTTTTAGATTTAGCTCTTTTAAGAACTTAGAAGAAAAAAAAGATCAAATCTTTGACTTCTTCAGTCCGATTACAAATAGCCCAACTTTATAGAGTTTATTTAGGCATTTAATTCTCAGAAAGAGACTTGTTAAGAGAGACTTGTTAAGTTCATTTAACTACCATAGAAAGTCTGTACATGGTTTGCACTTACTTTCGTTATTTTTTCACTGCGTTCAACCATTCCGCATTCGCGTACAACGGAACTTTTTCACAAACAACATACTTTTCAAATGCAAATCCAAACACTATATTTTGAAACGAAAAAAAAAGACAACAACAACAAGCTCAAAGCTTTTGTATAAGCTAAGGACCAAGACAAGATTGAGGTATTAGAGTGAATCCCCCAGATACCCATATAGGCTTCTTAAGCTATTTTTAGACATGGTACCCAGTTCTTTCCCAGATGTTACTCGCGCGTTTTTGGATGTTTTAAGGGAGGATCTAGTTATATTTCGTTTCGTTTCAAAGCAAAGAAAGATCTCCAACGTTGTGGGAATGCCTTCTTTGAAATTTTGATATCAGAGAAGCAAAGGGGCTTCGGCTGTCGCTGTCTTGATGCATTTCGAAACTTTACAGGAGTTTACATAAGAGACAGATGTCCCTTGAACAAACAATAAAAACTGAATGAACGGCTGAGAAATGAACAGCCAAATGAGCGCAAAGCAAACGAGCACCTGAACACAATGTATCCGAACAAACAGATCGTCTAAAGTGCAGACAGATGCTCCCCGCCCAAACAGCAAAAGGCAGTTTAAGTATCAGGGACAACAACGTCAAGGACAAACTGGAAAAGAAACTGTGAAAACTTTCGGAAGCCTTACATTGAGACGAAGGAAGTAGAACAAGTTGACTACAAGTATAAAAATGATCACAATTGAATATACTTTACATTCCCTCTTTTATTGCATTCTTGCAAGATGATAATGAGCAGTTAGTTAATCGTCAAATGCAACAGTTTTTCTTGAAACGTGACCCGCTATTAAAACACAAACTGTGATTTACCGGAATAATTACCATTAAGCGAGGTTCGTTTAATTAGTTTGCCGTGNAAAGCTTTTTCTATAAGCTAAAGACCAAGAGAAGATTGAGGTAAGGGAGTGAATCCCCATATACCCATATAGGCTTCTTAAGCTATTTTTAGACATGGTACCCGGTTCTTCCGCAGATGTTACTTGCGCGTTTTTTGAATGTTTTAAGGGAGGATTTAGTTATATTTCGTTTCGTTTCAAAGCAAAGAAAGACCTCCAACGTTGTGGGAATGTCTTCTTTGAAATTTTAATATCAAAGAAGCAAAGGACTCTTCGACTCTTGCTGTTTTGATGCATTTCGAAATTTTAACAGGAGTTTACATAAGAGACGGATGTCCCCTGAACAAACAATAAAAATTGAATGAACGGCCAAATGAGCGCAAAGCAAGCGAGCAACCGAACACAATGCATCCGAACAAACAGATCGTCTAAAATGCAGACAGATGCTTCCCGCCCAAACAGCAAAAGGCAGTTTAAGTATCAAGGACAACAACGCCAAGGACAAACTGGAAAAGAAACTGAGAAAACTTTCGGAAGCCTTATATTGAGACGAAGGAAGTAGCACAAGTCGACTACAAGTATAATAACGAGTACAATTGACAATACTTTACATTCCCTCTTTTATTGCTTATATATAATGCATTCTTACAAGCTAAGATGACAATGAGCAGTTAGCTTATCGTCAAATTCAACATTTTTTGGTGAAACGTGACCCGCTATTAAAACACAAACTGTGATTTACCGGAATAATTACCATTAAGCGAGGTTCGTTTAATTAGTTTGCCGTGATTCTTTTATTTTCCTTGAAACATGAGCTAGTCGTCAACCGACAACTTCACTCTCTCTTCTACCCCTGACAATCATAGAGTTGTAGAATTGTTAATTGTATCCTGAACCCAGGTCTTAAGTACAAACACGTCAGAATACACTCCGAATCTATTCGGACTTGCACAACCAACTCCCCAGCTGACGATACCCATGAGATACCACTTGTTATTGCTCGGACAGACCAATGGCCCTCCACTGTCACTGTCGCATGAATCAACTCCTCCCTGAGAGAAACCTGCACAGCGCATGCGTTCCGTAATTTCAACTCCGGAGTCGCTGTATGCCCTCCGACAAGTGTCACGTGGTACAAGAGGAACTTCCGCTTGCTGCAAAATCTAAAAGATATATCATAGTTTTTTTTTTCTTTTTTTCTTTAATCATCACAGTTAATCTCAGGCAAATGATCATGCTCAGTGCGGATATTTCCCATGATAATTGGCACAAAAACTATTTGCTGCCAAAGCAACAAACAAACTAAAGACATTGGTACTGGGTCACTCGTTTAAAAGAAACTACGATGGAAAACCCAGCAATTTATTATAACCATTTGTATGGCTAGCTGACGACAGTCAAAAGAGTTTCCCGAGGCATGTAATGAATTCTTTTACCTTGAATTGATTTATTAAAAGTTAGTGGCAAGCATGAAATAAAAATACAAACCATACGGAAAATCCGTAAGGGGTTCTATAGTCCCATATGAAACACAGGTAACTGCGCTTTACAGAGCACTTTTTAAATGAGTGTCGTAAAAACAAAACCAAAGTAATCACTCTAGCCAATCCCAAAGAACAAAGAAAATCCAATGAACCATTTGAAACTCGAAGTAATTACATGTATCTGCATGATGCAAAGCGGGGGAAAACTTATGTGTGCGAGTCACGATTGGTTTTAGTTTTACTTCTGATTGTATGAAAAGTGGTGCAAGTTTTTCAAGCCAATCGTACAGGGTAGTTGATGCAAAGCCAATTACTTTTCGGCGTTTGGGAATCTTCATATTTTGCATAGTATATATTACAACCTGTTACCAATACGCTTATGAAGTGTCTCGCGCGAATGCAAGTGAAAACATTGCCCGCAAAAGATTAAAACATTTGTATAAATACCTGCGCAAAATTTCCCAAATAGCTTGTATCTCCCCATCCTGTGACATAACAATTAGTTCCAGGAGGAAAATCCATGGTGGGCAGACATACAGGTCTTACGTCATTGTTGAACGTGATCGGCTCCTTCAGTTTGATCAATGCCACGTCATAGTCGTAGCCAGTCGCTGGCGGGTTATAATTAGGATGTAAGATGACTTTGTCGATTGGGACTATTTCCTCTTTTCCTACTACTGTACGAAGATCGTGTTCACCTGTTCACAGTTAGATAAAATGTTTTGACATACTTAAGTTTACGTTAGTGAACTAGTCAAAGAAGAAAAACTTTTCACACCAGCTGGGTTATGAATGGTCATAAATGGGAAAATGGAATTGGTGAGCGCCTGGCTGCTCTTACGAGACCTACGTGCGATCGAGCTTTGCGCCTTCCGGTTTTACGGGCGTCGATATTTCTGGAAAATAGAAACGTTTTTCATTCTACAAAAGGGATATTTTAATAAAAACGCTGTGAAGGATATAATAATAATAATAATAATAATAATAATAATAATAATAATAATAATAATAATAAAGATTTCATATTCTATGGGCTACGCCCAAAGAAGACGTAGAAACTACGCTGAATATCTAATGAGACGACTCTCACTGAACCATTTGAACAATATTATGATGTTATTATGACGATGCGATTAATGTGATAACGCAGTGTTTCTTTACCTACAGTTAGTGTAAAAGACGTGGCATTTTTTCCAACATCAAAACAGTGAGCTGCAGTAACGATCCAGTACGGGGTAAGAATGGAGCCTCCACACAAAACAGGGCCCCGATGCGGCTTATAGTCCACTAACACTTGCCATGGCCAAGACCCTGGTTGGGCGTTTGTGCCCCCTACAATTCTGGAATCGGGCTTTTTCCTGCCACACTCCACGTTCCCTAGTAATGAAAGACAATTTAGGGCTCTGATCTATAAACATTTTTAAACTGTTATTATGATTATGGTCCAAAACATGTAATTGATGCCTTATGCGTGAAAAAGGTAGCAAATGCGGAAAATAAGAGCATTCAAAATCACATTTGGTATCGTCATTGCTGTTGATTGGTTAAAACAAGAAATATGTCTCCTCGGATTGATTTTAGCTCCTTGCATAATGTTTTTTTAATCAGTGAGAGATCGTATGATAGACGTTCCACTGTAAATCTCTTTTTCCGTGAAAATTCTCTCTGTCTTACCCTGATTAATGGGTGCGCGTGCGCCAGCAGTTGGTGACAAAGTTATCGACGCACCTAAACGGATATAAGAAAGACAATATTAGCTTTTGGCGCTTTAGACTATGTTTACATTAGTGGAAATTGTTCCGGATTCGTGACGAATCCGGAACTTTTTAGCTAGTACCGGATTGATTTTGCCGTTTACACACAAGTGGAAGAATCCGAAATAAAAACTCCCTGGTTTGGTCATGTTTCTGGAGAATTTGAATCCGGAACTTAAAGTGGGAACTTTGAATCCATAGAGTTTTGTCATGTAAACGATTTTTTCTTCGAATTCGGATATTTTTCTGCCTGCGATCTTTTGAGGTTGCGGTAGAACCAAAATGGCGGATCTACTAATGTAGTCACAGTCGTAGTCGCATTGATGGCCATTAATAGCGGTCAATGGTTGCCACATTCTGTTACAGGTTCAGGCAGTCGCTTTTATAATGGGTAATGCCATATTCCTCAGAAACCAAAATAATAGACACAAATAATGTTCCCTTGGCATGCCCACGTCAAAAACTTTCGAACAATAACAACACCAACAACAACCATTTTATTTTCCTTAATACATAGAATATCATACAGCAAAAGAATAAATTAATCTTAAAAAAGCAAAAAACTACTCCGCAAAATAGTAAGAACCAAACGAGCTGAGTAGTTACAAGGATTATTACGCTTTAAATCGGTTGTGGGAAAAATAAAGAAAAGAAGAGGTAGAAAAAANCCTTTCCCGCATTCCACTTCAGTGCGTTCGAACAATGGCACCAGAGCGAGGTTGGGGTGAACATTTTCATACATCTTCCGTATTTTTGTCCACCCTGACCTCGACTTGGCGCCATTGTTTGTTGGAATGCGGGAAAGGTCTATTACCAGAAACAAAAACGAAAACTTGAGGGATCTACTCTTGTGTAAATAGACACACAACAGACATAAAGATGAAAGAAAAATTATCAAAAAGACATAGTCTAGAAATATATAGATCTCCATAGTTATATTTACACCCTAGCATCATAAATCCAAGCCAAACATAGTTACCGCCTACTCCATTCCTTGGTTGATTTCCACTAGTCTGACTGATCACAGCAAAAGAAAAGAACAAAAACAGGGCAAAAGTTGCAACAGGTCCGTTAGATGCTACCAACATTTTGCCTGAAATAAACCGGACCAAGTTTTCCCACGGCTTTCTTGTAAGAACAACAGCACGATAAAAATAGGCCTGCGGACATGCTAGGCAAAACTGATCATAACAAGGTTTTGTTATATTTAGAGACAAAGACTGATATAGAGATATCAAGATCAAGATTCCTCAGTATTAATTTAGTACTGAGATTCGCAGAAGTATATTTAGATAGCTATAAATACACCAAATTTACTAAAAATGAATCAAGTTCGCATATATTGTAAGATTCTTAAATTCAATATCAAGGATATTATAAGCAGCTATTCAATTAAGAAATAGTAAAATATTTCAGAGTTCTTATCGAGTTATAGAAACGCGAGTGGAATATAAGAAATACACTTGCAACACGAGTCGTAGGTGAATCGAATTTGTTCACACTTTTTCGAATGTCCGGCCAATTTTTCACGACTGTTCCTATGTCGATATATCGATAGAAACACAGAGGAACTCGAGAAAATGCTTTCTAAAGTTAATTATTAGTTTTTGATTTGTTCATCAAGATGCATGATATATACAATCAATATTTGTATATCTACCATCGTGAACAAACAAAGAGCGATATAGCTCGGTCAAGATCCAGGTACGAACATCAAGTCTGGTGACGTGATAATTCTTACAAAAGTTCATCAAGATATTGCCATAAATGTACAAAGGTTGCTAAATGAACCAAGTTCACAAAACAAAGTACTTCTTAATTTAAATATCAGTGACATCTTTATAAGTGATACAAGACGTCATTTTCTACTTCATAGTGAGACGCAGGTATTATATTTGTAGTTGATTCAACATACTCGTCTGTGAAATTCAAACAATATCCCTTCCCGAAATAGCCACTTCAACTTCCAGACGACAAAATCCTTCTGACAATAAGCCGCATCCCGGCCCCCTCCAGAAATATAAGCCTGTGTGTTTTTGTTTTAGATTTAGCTCTTTTAAGAACTTAGAAGAAAAAAAAGATCAAATCTTTGACTTCTTCAGTCCGATTACAAATAGCCCAACTTTATAGAGTTTATTTAGGCATTTAATTCTCAGAAAGAGACTTGTTAAGAGAGACTTGTTAAGTTCATTTAACTACCATAGAAAGTCTGTACATGGTTTGCACTTACTTTCGTTATTTTTTCACTGCGTTCAACCATTCCGCATTCGCGTACAACGGAACTTTTTCACAAACAACATACTTTTCAAATGCAAATCCAAACACTATATTTTGAAACGAAAAAAAAAGACAACAACAACAAGCTCAAAGCTTTTGTATAAGCTAAGGACCAAGACAAGATTGAGGTATTAGAGTGAATCCCCCAGATACCCATATAGGCTTCTTAAGCTATTTTTAGACATGGTACCCAGTTCTTTCCCAGATGTTACTCGCGCGTTTTTGGATGTTTTAAGGGAGGATCTAGTTATATTTCGTTTCGTTTCAAAGCAAAGAAAGATCTCCAACGTTGTGGGAATGCCTTCTTTGAAATTTTGATATCAGAGAAGCAAAGGGGCTTCGGCTGTCGCTGTCTTGATGCATTTCGAAACTTTACAGGAGTTTACATAAGAGACAGATGTCCCTTGAACAAACAATAAAAACTGAATGAACGGCTGAGAAATGAACAGCCAAATGAGCGCAAAGCAAACGAGCACCTGAACACAATGTATCCGAACAAACAGATCGTCTAAAGTGCAGACAGATGCTCCCCGCCCAAACAGCAAAAGGCAGTTTAAGTATCAGGGACAACAACGTCAAGGACAAACTGGAAAAGAAACTGTGAAAACTTTCGGAAGCCTTACATTGAGACGAAGGAAGTAGAACAAGTTGACTACAAGTATAAAAATGATCACAATTGAATATACTTTACATTCCCTCTTTTATTGCATTCTTGCAAGATGATAATGAGCAGTTAGTTAATCGTCAAATGCAACAGTTTTTCTTGAAACGTGACCCGCTATTAAAACACAAACTGTGATTTACCGGAATAATTACCATTAAGCGAGGTTCGTTTAATTAGTTTGCCGTGATTCTTTTATTTTCCGTGAAACATGAGTTAGTCTTCAACCGACAACTTCACTCTCTTTACTACCCTTGTCAATCACAGAGTTGTGGAATTGTTAATTGTATCCTGCACCCAGGTCTTAAGTGCAATCACGTCAGAATACACTCCGAATCTATTCGGGAGCGCACAACCAACTCCCCAGCTGACGATACCCACGAGATACCACTTGTTATTTCTCGGACAGACCAGCGGTCCTCCACTGTCTCCTTCGCATGAATCAATTCCTCCCTGAGAGAACCCTGCACAGCGCATGCGTTCCGTAATTTCCAATCCGAGGTCGTTGTATGCCCGCTGACAAGTGTCAAGTGATACTAGAGGAACTTCCGCTTGCTGCAAAATCTAAAAGAAATGTCATAGGTTTTTATCATCACAGTTAATCTCAGGCAAATGATCAAGCCCGGTGCGGATATTTCCCACAAAAGCTATTTTCTGCCAAAGCAACAAACAAACAAACTAAAGACTGAAAGAAAACACGATGGAAAAACCCCAGCAATTTATTATAAAAATTTTTATGCCTAGCTGAAGAAAGCCAAGAGAGTTCCCCGAGGCATGCAATGTATTGTTTCACCTTATATTAATTTATTAATATTTAATAGCAAGCATGAATTAAAACTATAAACCATACGGATAATCCTGAAAGGGTTCTATAGTACACAGGTAATTGCGCTTTAAAGAGCACTTTTCAATTGAGTGTCGTAAAACAAAAACCAAAGTAATCACTCTCTGCCAATCACAAAGAAAAAAGAAAATCCAATGAACCGTTTGAAACTCAAAGTAATTACACGTAACTGCATGATGCAAAGCGCGGGAAAACATATGTGTGCAAGTCACGATTGGTTTTGATTTTACTTTTGATTGGATGAAAAGTAGCGCGAGTTTTTCAAGCCAATCGTGTAATGTATTTGATGCAAAACTAATCACGTTTGGAAATCTTCATATTTTGCGCAGTTAAGTCGACTCCCGATAACTCGAACCCTCGCTAACTCGAACCTCGCGCTTACTCGAACCAAAATCGATTTCCACTGGATTTCCATCATACATTAACTGTAATTTTACCCTCGGTAACTCGAAACCTCGATAACTCGAGCCTCCCGCTAACTCGAACCAATTTTCCATATTGTCTGTCAATACGTGACAGGTCAAAATAAACAGTGTACTGTAGTCCAAAACATCAAATTTATTTTGAAGCAGCCGTGTGACAAGACTTGTAAAGTTCCCAGTTCCTGGACTTCTCCCTGCTGCTTTCATTTGCTATATTTATCACATTACGTTACGTTCCGATTTATACAGTAGTTCAGAGATATATTATTTTATTTTCACTCGACTTCTCTATTCTGTAATTAAACTTGATTAAAATGTACACTGCATGAATAGAAAAACATTAAACACCGTTTTTTCCTCATTTCCGGTCATTTATTCTCAACTCCCTATAACTCGAACTCCCGACACCCCGTACCTTTTTCAATTTCCCTTGAAGGTTCAATTTATCGGGAGTCGATTGCATATTAATGTTACAACCTCTTATCAATACGCTTATGAAGTGTCTCTCAAATGCAAGCAAAAACATTGCCCACAAAAGATTAAAACATTTGTATAAATACCTGTGCAATATTTCCCCGCTCTGTTGTAGCTCCCCATCCTGTGACATAACAGTTAGTTCCAGGAGGAAAATCCACAGTGGGAAGACACACAGGTCTTACGTTAATGTTAAAGTTGATAGGTTCCTTCAGTTTGATCAATGCCACGTCATAGTCGAAGCCAGTCGCTGCCGGGTTATAATTAGGATGTAAGATGATTTTGTCGATTGGGATTATTTGCTCGGTTCCTTCCACTATACGAAGATCGTGTTCACCTGTTCACAGTTAGATAAAATGTTTCAACACACTTAAGTTAGTGAACAAGTCAAGGAAGAAAAACTTTTCTCGCTAGATGGGTTATGAATGGTCATAAATGGGAAAATGAGATAGTCAGCGCCTCGATGCTCTTACGATACGAGCTTTGCACCTTCCAGTTTCACGCGCGTCGATATTTCTGGAAAATCTAAACGTTTTTCAGTCTACACTGAAAAGGTATAATAAACGCTGTGAAAGATATAATAAAAAAAGATTTCATTTTCCATGGGCTATGCCCAGAGAAGACGTACAAACTACGCTGCAGAATGTCTAAACCTTTGAAACGACTCTGACTGAAGCATTTGAACAATATTATGATGTTATTATGACGTTACAAAGTGATAAAGAAGTGCGTCTTTACCTACAGTTAGTGTAAAAGATGTGACATTTTTTCCAACATCAAAACAGTGAGCTGCAGTAACGATCCAGTACGGGGTAAGAATGGAGCCTCCACACGAAACAGGGCCCCGGTACGGCTTAAAGTCCACTAACACTTGCCACGGCCAAGACCCTGGTTGCGCGTTTGTGCCCCCTACAATTCTGGAACCGGGCTTTTTACTGCCACACTCCACGTTCCCTAGTGATGAAAGACAATTTAGGGCTTTGATCTATAAACATTTTAAAACTATTATGATTATGGTCCAAAACATGTAATTGATGCCTTACTCCCGAAAACGCGGAAAATACGAGCATTCAAAATCACATTTGGTTTCGTCATTACTGCTGATTGGTTGAAACAAGAAATATGTCTCCTCGGAGGAGATTGATTTTAGCTCCTTGAATAAGGGTTCTTTTAACCAGTAAGAGATCGTAAAATAGACGTTCCATTGTACATCTCTATATCAGTGAAAATTCACTATTTCTTACCCTGATTAATGGGTGCACGTCCGCCAGCAGTTGGTGACAAAGTTGTCGACGCACCTAAACGGATATAAGAAAGAAAATATCAGCTAGTGGTACTTTAGACTAGGTTTACACTGGAGGAAATTGTTCCGGATTCGTGACGAATCCGGAAAGTTTTAGTACCAGATTGATTTTGCCGTTTACACACAAGTGGACGAATCCGAAATAACTCCCTAGTTTTGTCGTGTTTACGGAAATTCTGAATCCGGATATTTTTTTCCGCCTGCGATCTTTTGAGGTTGCGGTTGAACCAAAATGGCGGATCTACTAATGTAGTCACAGTCGTAGTCACATTGATGGCCATTAATAGCGGTCAATGGTTGCCACATTCTGTTACAGGTTCAGGCAGTCGCTTTTATAATGGGTGATGCCATATTCCTCAGAAACCAAAATAATAGACGCAAATAATGTTCCCATGGCATGCCCATCTCAAAAACTTTCGAACAACAACAACAACAACAACCATTTTATTTTCCTTAATACATAGAATATCATGCAGCAAAAGAATAAATTAAACTTAAAAAAGCAAAAAAACTACTCCGCAAAATAGTAAGAACCAAACGAGCTGAGTAGTTACAAGGATTATTACGCTTTAAATCGGTTGTGGGAAAAATAAAGAAAAGAAGAGGTAGAAAAAA